GGACCTTTCTCGGGTTGTTCATGTCAAACTTGCACAGGGACTATGCTAATTTTGTGTGCCTTGTTCCAATTTTAACGGATGTCCCAATGAACAACCTAGGCTTTGTGAAAACTGCACCAGGCTACCCGATACCAAAAGCCTCAAAACCCTACGAGCCTTCCTTTCCTGAATGCATCTAGCAGCATGTGGCCAGCAGAAGACGACGGCACTGGACATACCATACCACCAATACCTGTCCCGGCTACGTTCTTCCAACGTGTTCGTTAACACGGCGTGACGTCTTCCAGGGCTCCGCCTGCCGAAACAGAAGTATGGTGGCGCCAATCAAAAAATTGTGCCGGTTCAAGAAAAATTGGCGCGCTTCAGAAAACCAGCTCGAGGAAAAGAGACGCCAAGGTACTGGTGGTTTGAAGTGCGGTCTTGTCCTCATAGAAGCGGATGATGATGATGAGGGCCAGGTGTGAACGAGTGCTACATCGGTGCTATGTCACAGACCTGGTCGACGATCATTCTCTGCTTTCTAAGCACAAAGACAGCACAAGTGGTACCCGGTCCTCGTCTGGATTTGTGAAAGCTGAAAGCTGTGAGCATAAACAAAAAAAAAAAATTAAAAAAAATCACTGCAGAGCATTAAATGATTGAACAACTTGGTGCATAGAGCCAGTTCACTTCTCCACTACACCATATGTTCCACTCCCCACCCCCCACCCCTCCTCTTCCAATAATTTAATTAATGACCAGTGGGAAACCCCGACAAAAACGCAAGATAGATGAGTGCCTTCGTGCAGGGACCTTCTTCCATTTTTTTAATATGAAAATCCATGCCCCCTGGCGGGCATGGTCATATTATACGCATTCATTGTTTGAATTTGGACAGGTTTTGTTTTGGCTTCTTTTTTAGGTTCCTGGCCTGTCATGCTTCTCTCGGTGTACTAGTGTATAGCGGACATGACAACACGCAAACCCACACCCACACACGGCTGAGTGGGTGTGTAGTGTTTTTTTTTTTTTTGTCTCACACTTACTCCCATTCTGTTACTCATATTCCTGTCAGGGGTTTGAACCGACAGTCTGCTAGGATTGCAGGGTCAGTGTGAGTAAAGCCGGCCACTTTTTTCAGGCCTATCGCTAACTCTGGGCAACGTCCTCATCACTCAAATGCGTCCTTGGAAGACTTCCTGGATTCAGTGAAACTCCGACGAAAGTCTGACACAGTCATGCTTGTCTTTTCCGTAGTTGTGTATAACAAACATGACAACACACACACACACACACACACACACACACACAGAGGCACACACGTAACCATGAACACAAACAAACAAACACTCATCGCATTGTCTCCCAATTGGAACCGGAAAAACAACAGCAGCATGAGTTTCGGATTTTGAAAAGCCATGCTAGAAGCAAGCACTGTGTAAAAGTACCCAAGAGGTTCGTAGGCGAAAGGGAGGAAGGGGAACTGGAGAAAGAGGAAGGCCGGTAATGCATCAACAAACCAGAGCCAGGTGAACTTGGGCGACATCACCTGCTTCGCCCTCTGTTGCCATTTCGACGTCAGTCTGCCCTGCCTGGGGCTCTGCAGATTCCAACACGGGCCTCAAAGACTCGACGGGTTTCTTCTCCTTCTCCACAACCAATTGAACTGCGGTTGATGATTCCTTCGTTTTGTCGACAAAATCAGCATGTTGAGTCCGCTTTGTATGCAGATCTGCTTCCTAAGCCCACAAAACGAACAAGTACCCGTCAAGACCCCAAAAAGACATCAGGGGACAGAATAAACAATCCAGTCACACGAAGAAGTTGCACTATGTGCTTTAACAACAACCAAGCAAAAGAAAAAGGAAAGAAGAACAGGGAAACACACAAAAAAAAAAAAAAAAAAAAAAAAACAGACATCTTACATCACGTCACCTCATAAACGACAACAGCTAATTCGGTTCGATCAAAGCACCACAGACTTGAATCTCTCTAAACAGGATACCGACACAACTTTCCGAAACAAATCCAGGTGCAATTCACGGAGGGTTGAGATCGAATCAAGAGAAAATAGGAGTAATTTCACAGGACAGAAGGTCAAGGGGGGATAAAATGACGGAGGCGATTCAAGGGGAAGAACTAGAGGGGAAGGATTAATGGAGGGAGGTGGGGGGAATCAGGAGGTGAGGGAGAATGCGTGGAACCTAAGGAAGAGAGGGCAGGGAGGAGGAATGGAGTTCTTTTTAACAAAGAATTACAAGGACGATTCGAGGGTTGCTGGGAAATTCAAGAAGATTTCGTTTGAAAAAAAGAATTTGTGAAGAAGGATTCGTGGAATGGAAACCCGGCCTACGAAATTTTCGGAGGCCCAGGGCCGTAGATAAATCCAATCGGCGGCGGGCGGTCTCCGAAAAGGGCCCGCGGCCGATAGCTGGATGTACTGGTAGTTTAGACTAGCGAGAGGATGAGATAGATGAGTACTGGCAAGAAAATGAGATAGATGAGAGAAGAATATAACTAATTTTACCCACAAAAAAAAAAGAAAAAAAAAAGAGGCATTTATACTTTTATTACACACGTGAAAGAAAAAAGAACGAGTGAAAAGGTATCCAGTGACTTCCGATACATACCGTCTTGCTTCTGCAAGGTTTTCCACACGTGGCACAGACCAAACTCAGGACCTGTCACATAGAAAATAAACGTTCAAACAGTTGTCACTCACAGATCCGTTGCTGTCTCAATCTCACACCCTCAGCTCTGCCATGAAACGCGCGCACGTGCGCACACACACTCGCACACAGCAGTCCTTCAATGCATAGCAAACTTCCCTTATCCCCATCTCTCTCTCTCTCTCTCTCTCTCTCTCTCTCTCTCTCTCTCTCTCTCTTTGCACCTCTCTGTGCATGCGGGTATACCACCCTCGCTCTTCATCGACCGTAGTGATTGTGTGAGCATGGGTAAGTTTAATGATAGTAATGTTCCATTTACACTTTCTCGGCAGCTGGCACCCACATGCCATACGCGCTGGACGCAGGCCCAAGTGGTAATAAGCACGCAAATGCCACAGAGATAGACGCGTACTCGCTCCGAGAGTCTAGAAATTTCCGATCAACAACTTTAAATTCACTAATATTTCGCTACGTTAAACCACAAGTACTTCCTATAGTCGTTCCCATTAATGCGCCATGATTTTACGAAAAGTATGGGCTACTACAGGAGCGCCCAAATTCATCCGACTACAAACGTTTCTACTCTATTTTTTCCCGCGGCCGATAGCTGGGCCAAGTACTGGTGGTTTAAAAGGATGGAGACGGTGAAAACACTCACGCGAACTTTCGGGTGCATGATTAACATCAACACGATCCGCTTCGAAAAAACAACCTTTATCTTTCTTCCTTCGTACTTAAGAAATCATGTTATATGTTGACGGCTCTCCTTGATGACGATGATGATCATGATGATGGTGACGATGACGACGACCTCAATAACCACGATAACCATTATGCCATGTGACAACATGTGACAAAAACGAGGGTTCAGCCTCCTGATGAGTCGGTGCAACTCCGACGAAACAATCTTGCAATCATCAGTTTATTAAAAAAAAAAAAAAACTAGGATACACGACGATCGCTCAATGACAAATCATATGATTGATAGCGGGCGGTGATGAGACGGTGTGATGATGGTGATGAGGATGATAAAGGAAAAAAATCGAGCACGACGATGAGAAAACGGCAAAGATGACGTCGATGGCTATCACACCCATGACGAAGACGACGACCGTAATGAGAGCCATGATGACGAGTGACGATGACAACGACCATGACAAGCCATGATGATAATGATGATGATGACGAGTGGTCGTAGTGATAACGACGGCGATGACGATGACGATCATGATGATGACAACGACGGCAATGATGATGATTTCCAAAAATCGTGGGGGTGCTCATAACGACTATCACCTTAACGATGATTACGATAAAAATGTCGACGTTGATGGTGAAGGTGATAAACACGATGGCAATGCTGATAATGATTAACGGTGACGACAATAATGATGACGATGATGATGGAGATGACGATTACTAACCGCAGCATCGAGAGGTCCAAAACAGATGCCGATGGTAAGTGTTGCATGCCAGAAGCGCACAAAAACATCATCATCATCATCATCATCATCATCATCATCATCATCATCGTCATCGTCATCATCGTCATTTACCACCGTCGTCATCATCGAGATCATAATCGCAATACAATACAATCACTAAATATGAGGAGAGAACAAGCGGCTTGCAGAGAGAGAGAACAAACTGAGAACAATCTGTAATGATATTGCTAGCTAAGATGACCAAGATGAATTTTCCAGTTCAACCAAAAAGAAAAAGAAAAGAAGAAAAGGGCATGCCTGCGAAGACGGTTAATGCACCGAGAAGAGACGATTTTTTTTTTTTTGGGGGGGGGGGAAGGCGCTGGCGACAGCGATAATTACCGTCTTCAACCCGGAAAGAACCCGCGGTCATTATAGCTGTATTATTTTGGGCAATTTTCAGTCTATATACAGCTATAACGACACGGCCGTTCTATTCGGGTATAGGTCAGCTAGAACGACACTCGCGTTCTATTCGGGTAAAGGTACAGCTATAACGACCGGGCGTTCTATTCGGGTATAGATAGGTACAGCTATAACGACCGGGCGTTCTATTCGGGTAAAGACGGTAGGGCACTAACGAATAACCTGACGAGAAGTCGAAAACAACGCTCGATGAAGACGAGATGGCGATCGGGACGATGATGACGCGATGGCGATCAGGACGATGATGACATGATGGCGATCGGGAGGATGATGAAGCGATGGCGATCGGGACGATGATGACGCGATGGCGACTGGGACGACGAGGACACGAGGGTGATTGGGAGTTGGGCGAAATATGGAGCTGCCAAGAAAACTGCGCAGATATCCAACAACTAAAAAAATCATAGCAAAAAAATCAAGACCTTTATTTTATTTTTTTCACGAAGCTATATACTCTCCTCTCAATATACCTCCCACTACCTACCTAACTAGGAATGATGCACACCTTGATCTACCCTCCAACGGGCTAGCTACACTAGAAAGGGTTTTGGGTTAAGCCTATCCCCCCCCCCCCTCAGAGAGTTGAAAACCCCTGACAACGGGTGGCATTCCCCACCCACCAACCAATCAGGAGGGACAAGCTGACTATCTCAGGTGGTGATCGCGCAGCGCGCCTCAGGAGGTGTGGGGGCTCGATTGGGGACTGTAGGTAATCGAAACCACAACCTCCTGAATGCCGCTTTCGTGCTCTACTGAGCTACGCCGCTACCTTCTTCCCCCGAGTACAACGTACGGTCATTATTGCTGTATCTAGACTGAAAGATCGCTCAAATGCAGCTATAATTACCGTACGTTGTATTCGGGGGAAGAAGGTAGGCCGATATCCAAGACTCTTATAAACAAAACAAAACAAACCGAACGAAATAAAAGCAGCATGGTAGACACAATGGGCCTCCACTTCAGAACACTCTGCATGCATTAAGCCTTTACTACGTAGTTGTGCATGCACCGCTCCCCATCCGCCAACAGTTGGAATGCATCTGGGCAGAATTCTGTCCAGATGCCTTCAGAATCTTGGCGGATGGCGAGTGGTGCCTAGGCACTGGTAAAGACATTAAAATCAAATAAAACGGTGGTTCCAGTTTTACTGTATCCTTTTTTTTTTCTTTTTTTTTCTTTTAAAGTAAACTGTCCCTCCAGTGCTAGCGATGCTGATAAGAGCAGTCACCGCTAGCACCTGGGGATAGGCTCCATCTACTCCGTTCTTTTTTCCTTTTTTTTTTTTTCAATTTATCCTACTCGCAGGTCACAGTTCAATATTTCCTCGGATGACCTCCTCCTCCTCCTTACCGTCTTCCCCCGAACACAACGCACCCTCACTAGGACACTGTACATGACCGCACGGATAGCGTGTATACATTATCATGACCAGGGTGCGTTGTGTTCGGGGAAAGACGGTAGTCCCGATATACACCGTGTTTTCCCGATTAACACATCCGGCCAAACACACTTGGCCTGCACGATCTGCTTTTTTTTCCTTCCTTCCTTTTTTTTTTGTTCTTTTCTTTTTTCCTTTCTTTTTTTCACTCCACGTCCAAGGAGCTTTTTGATGATCGAGAGGGGCCTGGCCACATGTTTTCCATCCCCCGAGCGATCAAGCAAGCAACTCCGAAGCACTCGCGTCGGTCTAGATATATCCCTACCCGTCTTCACCCGAATAGAGCGCCCGGTCAATGTATGCGTATTTCGGGCAACTTTCATTCCACATGCAGCGATAATGACCAGGCGTTCTATTCGGGTGAAGACGGTAGGTTAGCTAACCCGCGCTGAAGCAATTCTGCGACAATCGGAAAAGAGAGACGAGAGAGAGAGGGAGAGAGAGAGGGAGAAAGAGGGAGAAAGAGGGAGAGAGAGGGGGAGAGAGAAAAGAGAGAGAGAGAAACGGTGAGAGCACGAGAGTTTCCATTTCCGAAATTTTAATCAGAGTTTGCGCAGCGTGGCGCGTCGTCATCGAGGGCCACCTACCCCCTCCTCAAGGATTGGGGACGTGAACAAACTCGACCAGCTCACACTGCCCTCGTGATTAGAGAATTTATGACCGACGAAGAATCAACGGACGAATCAAAACAACCATGTTTGAGTAGTTACTCCACACCTCTTCCCGCGCCAATCTTGATTGATTGATTGAATTGATAGATTGCTTGATCGACTCGATTGATTGATTGATTGATTGATTAAGAATTCGTGATTGGAACTAATTGATTGGTCGATTGATTATTGATTCATTATTTCACTCAGTCGAAAACACTCTTCTGATCACTTGCAACCGATTGAATTGACTGACAAATTTCATTGTTTGATGGATTGATCGATTGACAGATTAGTTGCCTGATGTATGAACTGATGGACTGATCGATCGATTGATTGGCTGAGTGATTGAATGGTTCGATGACAGCAATCGATCGACAAAGATCCAAACACTTGCTCAACAACAATCCATCGACAAAGATCCAAACACTTGCTCAACAACAATGATTGAATAGTCGGATGAATGATTCGTCGTCTAGAAATTAGCACCCACAAATCAAATCAACCGATTACAAACTTTTGAGGAGAAAAACGACCATTCTGATGGAAAAATTGCAACCGATTGATTGGCACATTCACTCACTCGGATGGATGATTCATCGATTGGAGGTAAGATTGCTGCTTAACCCCACGTTCATTTACGACTGCACCCACGAATATTACTGATCATATCGTAACTCATGCTTGCATGAAGCTGAGTGCACACACATCGGCTTTTTCAATGTCGGGCATGCTCACAGTACGACACTGCTGGATGCACCTAACTGCAAATGCGGCCCGACTCAGTCCCGGAAAGTTGCGCAATCTCCGGATGCCCTTCACTGATATCCACATATCGTCGGATTCATTTGGTCCATTCATTTTTCCGTAAGGAAGATTATCGATTTCACAAGATGAATGAATAAAAATTATCGATTTCACAAGGTAACTTGATAAAGATTATCGATTGCATAATATAAGCAAAATACATATCAATATAGAGACTGACGTCATCATGATCAATGGGTGAACTACCTGTTATTATCAATAAATAATAACGATGACGAAGGTCGTGCGCGCGCAAGAAGACTCACTATTAATTACCAGATGATGATAACACCGAAGTCAATCAAGCACCCAACGATAACGCCGACGACGATGACACCGAAATCAATCGTTCATGATTACGTACCACTCGGCCACTCTCCCGAAGAATCCAGCAAGCATCCTACAGGATTTGAAACTGTGACCTTCAACTTAAGAGGTTCCTAGTACACCGAATACATTAGGAGGTGTTGCTGCAGCAATAGCTCTTGTCTTTGGTCAACAAACCTATTTGCTTTACCTTTTATTAAACCACCACTACCTTTCTCACATGTGGGGCCGCGGGCCTCAAATTCAAATTCGGCCGCGACGTGCTGTCGATGACAAAGATCAACGGCGGCACAGCGGCTATTTTTCAGAAGTAGGCTTACTAGATGCCCCCGGCCGACGTATGGGAAAGGTAGTGGTGGTTTAACAGTTCAACAAACCCACAGCAAACCCACAACGAGTGTACAAAGCTTCTCCATGTCCAACACTCGAAGCGCGCTCGCTCCCCCGCTCGCTCCCCGACTAGCGCACAAACCTATTCCCGCGAATAGAACGCACCTGGCGGACCAGTTCGCCTACCGCCCCTCTCCTCCACCTCATTACCGTCTTCCCCCGAGTAGAACTCACGCTCATTATCACTGCATCTATACGGAAAGTTAATCCAAATACGGGTTTTTTTCCATAATGACCGTGCTTTCTATCCGGGGAAGGAGTGTCGCCCTCCTCCCCCGAGCATAGAGGAAGACAAAGAAGAAGAAGAATAGTGAATAGTGAATAGTGAATGGTGAAAACAGGGGCCGACTACCCTTCAGAACCCGCTTCGCATGATCAACAATGCATAGCCGCAACTACTAATCTCAGCTTACACGCGAGAAGAATAGTGAAAAAGAAAAAGCAAGATACGCAGAAACGTCTACCTCAAAAGGGGAGATGAGACGAAGAAGAAGAGGAAAAAGATAGACAAGAAAGGACGAGGGAAAGAGGGAGAAGGAAGACACACCCCTTTCTCAGAATGGGGATCATTGATACTCTTCGAATGGATCTAAGAATGGAGATCATCCGCACTTCAAACACGGAAGTACGTACAATAGAACGAAGACTACTGGCGGACAGGGATGCCGCGCGCATATCGAAGAAAAAACAAAGGGCGAGGACGTCGGAGAAGGAGAGAAACTGGCGGACAAGCCGAGAGAGTTCGGAGAATAGGACCCAAAAAAAAGGGAACACAGAGAGAGAGAGAAGGGAGCAGATTTTTAAAACGCGAGAGCGAGGGACCGCCAGGGGCAGAAGGTGGGAACGCAGACACAAACCAAGAAGAGAAAACCGGATTGAAAGAGAGTCAGTATAGAGCGAGAGATGCGATCAAATAAACCGTGATATGCCGAGAGCACAAAAGGTAGGATATGAAGTTCAGAGGGCATGGAAGAAATTTACAGTATCATCTGAAAAAGTGAAAACAAAAAAGAAAAGGTACGATATATGATTCACAGGAGAAGACAATACCAAGGAACAACAAGGAACCCGATCAAGGACACAAGCAGGGCAGAAAAGGAAAGGAAAGACAAGGCCACGAAGAACACAAGGAAGCCGATAAATGACAGAAGCAGGACATCAAGGGAGCGAGCAGATAATCTGCATACTTACAGCACTACCAACGTGTTGCAGAGAGGATGGGTAGCTAGCTTTCCCGCCATAACAGTGCGGGAGAGGATGGGGTTTTCCCGCCTGCAGAGTGGATGGTTTTCCCGCCAAAAGACCACCGAAAAAAAAAGCACAAGTCTCAACAAAAGGGATGCCGATGACCATACGAAGAAGGCCCTGAGTGGATGGTTATCTAGCTTTACCGCCATTAAAGCGCGGGAAAAGCGCGAGTCTCAACAGCTTCCGACTCATCACCAACGGGCTGCCCCGCTGCAAGCAAGAAGAGACAAGATTTACAAAATTTTGAAAAAAGACTATAAAATTTTGAAAAAAGGCAGAAAGAAAAGCAAATAACCCAACGTACACTCTCAGAAAGCATATCTATGGCTGCGCCACTTTCTCTATTCTCCATTACAAAACAAACGGCAGTGCTCCCGTGGGAAAGACAGAAGGAAGAGGTGTCTGTCAAGCAGACTGGACGGACGCACCGCTTCCGTCGATTCCTTGAAGTTGGAGTGCCCGAAAGCCTCCGCATGATCCTGGGCCTCCTTCATAGAGCGCAACTGCACGCCGCAATCACCACAGAGAAGAGAGAAGGCGGTCGCCATCGCCGCTCCAGACCTCTTGGACTTCTGTGTTGCCGTATGTCACTGGCGCTGGGCGGAGGGGCGTTGCAACAGTCCACCTTTCGCGTCCGTCAATTGAAAGACCACTTATCAATCCAAACCACGTGTCTTCTTTCCCGTGACCAACGTTCGCAATTGCCAACTTGGCGCCTCACCTAACTTGACGTCCACGCAGCTCACCAATTTATTTGGCACCGCGTCAGATCACAGATTTGGCGCCAATTTCCATCGCGAATTTTGTTTATGGCGCTCCGCTGTGTACGACTGGCACGGTCGCGCGCGCTCGATGCCAAGACACACAATCTGCCTCGACTTGATTCGCTGAGCGCAGGTGAGCGCCAGGACACTGGCGCTCGTCCGAGTTTTCCATTTCTGGCCGTAGATTACGAAGATACGGGCAGAAACGACAAACGTACGGAGGTGGAACCCGAGCCCCCGGTGGAATTGCGCCGAGCACTGTGCTCGGACTCGGGGGGGTTACCGCGGCATACACGAAGCAACTCCCTGGGGCCCGGGGGTAGAGGTCCAGGGCGGGTATCCCAACCAAACGCTGGTTGGCGGAGTTTTCAATCTGCACCCTGGCGGAACCCGTGCCGGGCCTGTTTTCCCAGCCTGGTTGGGGGCTACCGGTTGCCAACTGGGAAATTTCTTGGTCGCGCAGAAGGGGGATGGTTCTTTACTGCGCCAGTGCCCCCACCATCCAGAAAATCTCAGACAAACTGATTGACTTACCGCGAGGGCACGGTTTCGCAGCCCGTAAATTGTTTGTTGATGTGGTTGGGGAAGGGGAAGGCAGTGATTATGCTGTGTTTATGTTTTGTCATGTTCACTATGCCAACCCTACGAGTGTGGGTGTGCATAAGTGTGCGCATGTGTATGTGAGAGAGTATGTGAGGGTGAGTGTGTGTGTCTGTGTGTGTGTGTGAGAGAGAGAGAGAGCCCTGCAGCACGCAGCATGTCAGTGACCGGGAGGATAAGGGCAGGCACTAACCTAAAAAAAAAACAAGAAAGTCAATGATCTATTCGAATACAGGAGTTTCTTCTTTTCACAATTTGAATAGAAAATGCATGCTTTGCATTGGAGTATACAACACATGTGCATTCTGCACAAAGTGCCCATCTATTGGAGAAAATGGACTAACCACCAGTAGTGCCACGCAGCCCAAAATTGCCCAGTTGGTAACCATTGGGCTCTTTCCAGCCTCGAAAAATAGGTTGGGTACAGGTTTGGCCCGAGCGCAAATCGAAAATGCATCAGGCCACTGTATGCGGTGACCGTTTTCTGCCTGCCATTTCGATTTGTCGCGGGCAGCCGTTTTCTCACACCAATTGCAATCAGAAGACAACAAGATTCGTGTGGTTCCGCCCTACCATCCCGCCAGCAGACAATGACATCTTGCACGACAACCAATGAGCCAGCCAACGCTCTAAGGGCATATTGATAGCGTTCATGCCTTTTTTTTCTCTACCTTTTTGTGATTTTTTTGGTTATTCTTTTATGTCGTTATATGTACGCTTGGGATGAGAAAGGCACCCTGCCAAACGCATGAGCGAAAGCAAAAGTGCACGAACGCACACTCGCGCTCAACCCTGCCAAACGCATGAGCGAAAGCAAAAGTGGGTGAGCCAACTGTACATCCCACGGTCACCTTACAACAGGATAAGTTTTCGTGGGGCATAAGTTTTTTTCCCTAAGAGGTTGTCATCACCCTTAGGCGCGTATCCCGACCGAGCTACTGACCCACGTGCGAAAACTTTTACATGCAGTCGCAGAGGTGAGTCAGCCGAGGGCGTTTCTTCGTTGTAGTATAGGTACACGCAATAAAAACACCTATTGAACCCGAACGCCGTTCATCCCTTAGGGTGCTGATCTCCTAAGGATGAAGCGTGCGCTAATCGACTAAGGCGGTTTCAATCAAGCGTGAAACCCACAACTCAACCCCCTAGCCCCATACGTACAATACTCACATAACCATATATATATATATATATATATATAACCTATCAAGGAGAAATCACACATACCCTTAATAAAGCAATACATATATATAAAAAATCATCATTTCAATCAATCATCTCAGCAATCACAACTGCGAAAACTCAACACAATATTTAATATAACTGATTTGGTATGATGAAAAGATCATGCTAACGTAATTTCTCCTTGTCGTTGATATAGTCATAAAAAAAAAAAAAAAAATCATGTATAGAGTAAATTCCTTCAATCCTTTAAATTGATGTCTATAGTCGGACTTTTTTATTGTCTGTTTTCAGGGTGGCGTTTCAGATTGCATTGTGACTTAAAGTTTTTTCTGCTTGTGTTCTGCAAAAATCTCTGAAGGTGACTTCGAAATGATAAAAAATATTTGTTTATTTTTCCTTTCTTATGTATTTACTTCTCAATGCCGAAACATAATAGAGAAATCATCAGGGTAATCCGAATACTATCCATCCGGCGGTCCTATCTACATGGAGTGTTTTTATTTTTTAGATTACCTCGTAAAGCCATAAATCGTATGACTTTCTCAGCGGGATTTGTCTATGTGAGGTGTTTTTCCGAAATCTGAATAAGATTTTCAGAAAACGATGTACAGTCCTGGTAAATTTGTCGTCCTCCACACACTTGTGCCTCCAACAGGTCCAATCTCTCATGGTCGTCGTCGACGGACACCAGGGTAGTCATCCGCCCACCTCTCATAACTCTAATTGTTCGAGTACCATAGAGAGAGACCATCTATGAGGCTAGTCTCCACACTATGACACGAAGAGGCCGATTAAGTCCAAATAAGTGTCGGATCTTTGTATCCCAGATCCGGATAACACAAAAACGTCTATATGACGAGGTAATCTTAATGCTCACAATGACTCGAGAGAGACATTGGAGGTTGCTCGCACGGTGGAAACGCAAAGTACAACCGTGAAACTAATCAGGATTTCGAGTTGTATTGACCCGGAAATTCGCGTGAGTATTAATAGGAAAAAATCCCTCACCATTTCGAAGTAATCCGATGAAGCCAATTTACTGAGGAGAAGAGGTTAACATCTATATTTTTCAGGATACATATAAGATGTGTATATTCTATCTTCATGACTTTCAGGTTGCATTGACTTGTGATCGGGGGGGGGGGTTCGAGCCATTCATGGTCTAAATCTCCTAAGATTATTTCATGATTTTCATGATGCTCTTTATATATCATGAAAATAATGAACGATCTTGAAGTGGTGAAGACCACGAATGGTCTGAAAGCAACCCCCCGGGTGACCGGGGGAGGGGGGTGCTTTCATTACATTCATGATCTTCACCACTTCAAGTCCGTTTATTATTTTCATGATACGTTTTATGCATCATGAAAATCATGAACGATCTGGAAGTGGTGAAGACCATGAATGGTCTGAAAGCACCCCCCCGGTGGTCGGGGGGGGTGCTTTCATGCCATTCATAATCTTCACCACTTCAAGTCTGTTCATGATTTTCAAGATGCTTTTGGTCAGAGGGAGTGCTTTCATGACATTCATGATCTTCACCATTTCAAGTCTGTTCATGATTTTCATGATGCTCTTGGCCAGGGGGGGTGTTTTCATGCCATTCATGATCTTCACCACTTCAGTTTCGTTCATGATTTTCATGATGCTCTTTATGCATCATGAAAATCATGAACGATCTTGAAGTGGTGAAGACCATGAATGGTCTGAAAGCAACCCCGTGGGTCACTGGAGGGGGGGGCGTGCTTTCATGCAACAGAAAAATTGTCGCTGAAATTCAACAAAATTTCTTTTTAATGTCTAACTTATTCACGCCAGAAGGGTTGTGACCAACTGTTGAAACTGAGTCTTCTGCTGTGTTCAACTACTCATCAACATTATCAACTTATTCCCAACGAGTCCAACATGGTTTCCAAGAGGTCTCAATTTTTTTCTTAACGACTTCAACATGGTTTCGTACAGGCCTCCAACATGAACCAACACGTATCCAACATGGTTCTTGACCCACATTTTGGTACATGATAGGCGAGAGAGTGCGTGTGTGTGTGTGTGGCGGTCGTGCACTGCGGCCCGGTCCTGTAGACTTGCGTGTTTTGTGGTGTTATTTGCCCCCACCCCCCCCTTCGCCCTTTTTTTTTTCCTCCCACTTCAGGCTTTTTTTTTTTCATTATAGTACTACGGGGAACCCCGTGACAACCACATTATATATTAAACTTGCAACGAGGGAACATGCGGGAGTTGCACCCACCAGCAGGTGCGATACCCGCTACAGCAGGTGGGCGATACCAGCCAGGAGTCAGCCGGTAGCATCAGTGAGGAATGGAAAAAAACAACACGGTTGGGATGTGGGTGCCACTTACGCCAGAATACGGCTACAACGTATTCGTATATGGCTCCCACTTCCCAACCAAATCGTCACAAGTGTAAGTTATGTGGTTGCGCTTTGAGGTTGCTACTTCAGGTTGTTTGTGCATCTCATGCTACGTAGTGTAACCACCTTTTAAACTTGTTTTTATTTTATTTTATAGCCTTTTTTTTTTTTGTAGTACTTATGAAAATATGAATTAATGTATTTGCATAAAAAAATCACGCCGTACGATAAATATGCACTTGTGGCACCAAGGCGAACAACTTCACTCCGAGTCGTACTGGATCAAGTGTGTGGTGATGCAAAGTCACGTATGACGCTGCCTTCGCAAGAGTCACGGTGTCGGACGAAATACCCTTACAAAGGTATTTGGCCTTGAATTTACAGTTGACAGGTCAACTGTGCTGACCGCCTTGAGGGACTGATGTGAGCTAGGATGTCATATAAGCACGCACGTCACTATAGCGCGCGATGCGATAGTTATGATTAACACGAATACCCCTCGACCAGAAAGGTCAAGGGGATTGAGATGGCTACTATCATATCAAGGCATGTCTACGATATGCAGGATGCTGGCTTTGTTCGGCCTTCGGTACTCGGCACGTCTGCCTTTGCTCGGTATAGTACCGACATGACCGTTGTCCTGATACGCTTACCAAAGGCGACCTTCTATAAACAACAGAAAAAAACCACCGTTATTTTTGGGGTTGGAAAAACATTCGGGTTGTTCAAGCAACATTCGAATTAACGTTGGTGGTGAAACTAACGTTCTGCGGGGCGGTTTACAGTTCTTCAACAGTGCGATCATGACATAAACGTTGCTTATAGCATGGTCTCAAACAACAGATGACAAAAAGTGACATCCTCATTTTCCACATTGTAAATTGGGACGCTGGACCCGTTTTTCAGCAGGTGCTGCTCCCCACCAATAGATGGAGCCTCCCCGATGGTGCTAGCGGTGTCTGCAGTCATCAGCACCCCTAGCAACCGTTCGGGCCG